AACATTCTCCCATCTTCCAAAGTGCCTACATTTTACTATAACCATGCATTTAATTCCTCGATAAAAATACTTCTGTATTTTATGAGTTTGTCCAAGTCAAGACTTTACATCTAAAATCTTAGATCAGTTAAGTCTTTCAAGGTTTTGCTGGAATGCCCATTGATATTGAGAGTCAAAATTATCTACAATATTCAGGTTTCAGGGCCTGGGTATATGGATCAAATACTTGCTACACAAGCCTGAGGATCTGAGTTCAGATCCCGAGCACCCACGTAAAAACCGAATGGTGCTAGGCATGGTGGCACAACCTTTAATCCCAGCACTCTGGAGGCAGAGGCCTGCAAATCTCTGTGAGTTCGAGGCCAATCTGGTCTACATAGTGAGTTCTAGGCCAGCTGGGGCTACAGGGAGAACCTGTCTCAAAAAAAAATAAAGAAAAGAAAAGAAGGAAGAGAGAAAGAAAGAAAGGAAGGAAAGAGAAAAAGAGAAAGAAAAAGAGAGAAGAAAGGAAGAAAAGAAAGAAGAAAGAAAGAAAGAAAGAGAGAAAGAAAGAAAGAAAGAAAGAAAGAAAGAAAGAAAGAAAGAAAGAAGAAAGAAAAAGGAAGGAAGAAAGAAGAAAAAACACAAAGTTGTCAGAAAAAAAGTGATGGGGAGATATGGGAGGAGTTGGAGGGGAGGGAGTGGGCATGGATTTGATCAAAACACCTTATATGTATGTATGAAATTCTCAATAAAGTTTATTTTAAAAGTTAAAGAAAAAAGAAATTCTGAGTAATCTCAGATAACAGAAAAAAAAGAAAAGAAAATTAGAGTAGTCAGCTGGGTGTGGTGGTACATGTCTTTAGTCCCAGCACTTAGGAGTGGGAGTGGGAAGGGGGGGGGGGAAGAAAGGAAGGAAGGAAATAAATTAGAGAAAGAAGAAAAATAAAAATTCCATACTATAAACATTTTGGCATGTTTTTGGTATATACATTTCTTGGACATAAGAAAAAAAATTTATTCCACATAACATTGCATTCTTTTATTTATTGTATGTGTGTGTGTGTGTGTGTGTGTGTGTGTGTGTGTGTGTGTGTGTGTGCGCATGCCTGCCCTCACAAGACAGAGTGAGTT